AATAAAATATTGATTTTGCACCTCTTTTGAATTTCATATTTTGTCATTTAGAAATATGTATAAAGCGTGAATTCAGATTTTATAAAATTCACAATGTTTTGTTTGAATGCTTTAAAGGAAGAATTTGCAAGATATCTGTAATACATAGAGCAAATGTCAAATTGGCTATGCTATAAGATTTTTATCCTTTTTGTATTTTCAGAAAAGTAGCCCTGGACTTGACTTTCATTTTCATTTCATTTTTTGGATCACATATAGATATTAAGAATGTTTTCCCAACTCCAATGACTTGTATACGTCTGGGATGATTTCAGGTCAGGGTTAGTGGTCTGGTTTTTAGGGTAAATGTGCCATTATGTGGTGAAAATGAGCTCTTCACTGAAGGGACATTATAAAATCAGTCATTCCAAGATCATCATTGTACACTATCACACCAAAGTAATGTGAACTGTCACATAAAGTGACAAAGACAATGAAATGTTTTGTTCATTCATGTAGTCTACACATATATTACATGTTGACCTCATTAATGAAACCAAATTGCAAGTTTCAATTTTAAAGGTCAAAAGGAATACTACACATAATAAACCTGACCGAGGGCAACTTAAACTTTTACAACAAAATTGTAAAAGAATATCACTTTTTAATTCTTTCCATTCAAAGCATTTAAAAATCGGGTTATAATTTTTCACACAGCTGCATGTACCGCGGCTATCGAGGGTCAATAATGAAAGTAGGCCAACTCATGACATACCCATGTTTTGCACTCGTCTCTCACGACTTTCACATCTGACAGTCTACAACTCTCATAAATTATTTGAAACGAATAAACCTGTAACTAATTTAGTCTTAATAACTAAGAATTTCTTTGCAAAATCTTGTGCGAAATTATAAAAGTACATACCACGTTCTGCCATTCTCGACACCCTGCAATCTTCCCGGAAAGGAAATCGCTTACGATGGACCAATCAAATACCACTACTTTTGATCACATGACAAAACATGGCAGCCTCCATGAAAACTTTTGCAGAGATTTTTACTAAGATAAAATAATATTTAAATACGAGAAAGGTATGCAATGTAGAATGAAAACTTGAACAATATTGTAATAGGCCCATAGAAATTAATATACGGATGTTTTTAAGGTAGTTATTGATTTAAAATCTTTTCAAAACATTTTGCTTTATTGATGCAAGTTCATTCTTGTTCTTTGTTTATATATACCATGTTTATAATGTTTTAAATAATCTTTGTGTTCGATGCAATACCCACATCAGGTCAGTATTCGACTTTCTGCTCTCCTTAAAAGGTTTCATTAACTGGTCAATAATTTTTCAAGCAAGCAATCACTATGGCCATGGGTATTTTTTCTAAGAAAATTGAAAAGGGAGATACAGTTTTAAAATAAAAATGTGCATTTAATTAAGTAACGATTAGTCCAGTACAATTACTACATTTAGCTATGTAGTAGCATGATTTAGCTATTTTAATTTAAGTTTTCACAAGTTTGCTTTCATTTAAATTTGACAAAAATTTGCAAGTATGTGACAGTGACTACTAATATCAGGGACATATTTGTACTAAGGACTTTAAAAAAAGCAACCCAGAGCAAAGATAGATTAAATATTGCTGCTTTTGAACACTTTTAAGCAAAAGATGTACATGTATTTCCATTGTTTGAGTAATTGTACACCACCTTATGTGTGGTGGGGCATGTGTAAGTATGGTCTTTGTTGTTTCATTCTAGAGTAATTGTTTTGTCATAGATCAGGGTTGGTCCAAAAAACTGGAAATACTCATAGTTCCCAGGACAGTGAGAAATACTGGTAATTCCCGGAAATCTGTGACACAAATAAATAAATAAAATGAAAACAGTATTCAACACATTTGTAAGATTTCAATTGATAAGAACTAGACCAATAAAAATATCAATTAAATGTATAAGGGGATTCACCTCTTGATCAACCTTTTAATAAACTATTTTGCACCTTTTTTTTTTTGGAAGGAAAAAGGGGGGAGGGATGAAGGGCAAATCAAGAGCTTTCAATACAATGCATTTACATGTAAGTACAATATGTTTCTAATATTCTCCTAATTTGTTTGCTTCAGTGATGTCAATCAAACAGTGGAAAAAAGACCAAGGCCCTCCACCTGAGTGGCATGACTGGGTGGAGGAACTTTTCTCACCTTCACTAAATCTAGAAAGAGAAGCCATAATGGAGGGTGTAAACAAAGACAGTGCAGTCAAGTCAAAAATAAAAAGAATCTCAGTGTTGGACCCTGAAACTGTGAGAGAAGTGTATGAGAAAGTTCACATGATGTCTATGATGAATGATGAAATGAAGACATCAGGACTGAAAAAGACCACCATTTCATCAGAGCTAAAAACAGCAGATATATCATCAACCAGTATGTATTTCTCTACAGTTGTAATCATTAATACAATTGTCCATACTAGTTTTAAACCAGGTCTTGGACTCATTTTCCCTCTTTCAGAGTGTGCATAAAAAAATTAACATCAAAATTAAATGTTTTACAAATGAAAGGGATAAAAATGTTTATTGCATTTATTTTTCAGGTAAAGTAGAGAAATCAAAGAAGACTGTGGAAGTAGATTTAGACGAGTCATGTGTTTGGGACTCTGACGAGATATCTGTCTTACGTAAAGTGTTTAAACAAGTCAAAGAGGAAAACATGAAACTAAGAGTGAAAAACAAAGAGATTGAGAAAAGAAACATGCAGTTAGAAATGAAATACAATTCTCTAGTGAAAGAACTGGAAGAAAAAAATTTCAAGCTGACAGAAGTTGTAAAAGCAAATTCAAGGCTAAAAATTCACTGTGAAAATTTACAAAAAGAACTTGATGAAACAAATGTTAGAATGACTGCCATGGAGCAGATTTTTAAAGAAATAAATGAAGAAAAAGGGAAAATGGTGAAAGATGTTCATGAATTAAGACTCACAGCAGACAAAGAACGGATGGAGAAAAATGCCATTCAGCTTAAACTGGAAACAATTCAACATCAGATTGCTAGTGAAAAAATTGCCTTGGAGGAGTCGATAAAAATACAGTGTCGGGACCAAATTGCAAACCTTGAGAAAAATGTGATAGATTTAACAAAAGAACTGAATAAAGAGATAAAAGCTCATAAGACTACTAAACGTGGACTTGACCACCTTAGAAACCATTTCGCTAGTCTACCTCTATCCCACATAGTGCCACCCAATGCTGTAAGCAGTGACCAGATTAGTCAGTTTCAATATTAGCTTTTTTATGATGTAATGAATTGAAATACAATTCACTCTTTAAAAAAAATTATAATAAAGGTATGAAAAAAATTGTTCTTTGAAATTGTGTCCCAAGCTAAGCCTTGATCAGAGAAACTGTGTTTATTGTCACTGGACAGCCTTGAACATTCTGTTGGTTAAAGTGTTTAAACAATTTATTCCACTGAAATAAGTATACAGCAAAGAATATATATACAATGATATTGACCTTTATCAGGTAGAGGAAACTATTTTCTGTGACGTCGGAATAAATTTACATGCTAAATGAGGCACCAATGCGACTGACAAACCGACCAATCACCTAAATGAGTTACATTATGGGCTACTACAAAAAAATACCACGTGCATTTCGAAAAGGCCAGTTTTTCAAATCGTTCTCTCGGAAAGCCAGGATGCATTTTTCCAAGCATTTTACACAGTTTATACAATATGTACACTATTATCTACTAATTCCATGGTCACATTTACATACAAATGTTTTACAATGGTAAAATATGGGTTTCCTACGCTCCATTGTACAAGTCCGTTAGTTGACAATTGCCTGGCAGCTTTTCCCGTGCTGTACTATCGGTGAATATGAATTTCACGTGACTATTCCCTGGCCAAAACAATCGACTCTGAGGTGTACTCATGTATTGTCATTGTTTACTATGTATACAACTTTGATATATATGCTACTCAATACACGTTCTATGATCCATGCACATGAAATTTAATACTGTGTAAATTAAATGCCGTACAACAAAAAAACTTACAGTAAGTTTTTTTTTATAAATGCATTAACTTTTAATTGCTAGTAAACAAATAACAAAGCAACAACGAATAACACAAGTAGCATTGCTTTACGAAAACTGGATTCTTATTTACTTGTGAAGACTTTTTGAGTGGTATTTTTCAACATACTATTTAACATGGAAAATTGACTTTATTTGTTAATGTGAGCATGGGAAATCTTAATTAATACCTATTCTTCGTATTTTTCACAAAAACATTAAAAACTAGTTATAATTGTAACGGGGACCGTTACAGATGTTCCCCAAACGCTCCCCAACTCCCTTTTGGTGTCTTATTTCCTGTAAGCTTCATTAAATAAGGCAATGAAGTATATTGGTCGTTTTTTCCATTTCACGCGCGCGCACGTGCATGCATGTGCAGTATGACCATGTCACCCCATCTATACTATTAATGTATCTTTATATTCTCAGTATCAAAACATTTCATCAAAAATATATAGGTTCCGGCTATATCAAGTATACTGGTCATCATAGCATTGCGCGCACCTGCATGCCTGTTCATGATGACCATGCCATCTTGTCTACACTTATAATATGTCTGTTTATTCTTAGTATCAAAGCTTTTCATCAAAAAATAAAAAAGTTACGGCTATATTAAGTATATTAATCATTTAACACATTGCACGCGCGCGCATGCGCATGCATATGCATGATGTCCACATCATCTTGTCTACACTTGTAATATATCAGTATATTCTTAATATCGAAGCTTTTCATCAAAAAATATAAAAATTACGACTATATTAAATATATTGGTCATTTAACACATTGCAAGCGCGCGCACGTGCATGCATATGCATGCATGTGCATGATGACCATGTCATCTTGTCTACAATTTTAATATATGTAAATATTTTGAGTATCAAATCATTTCATCAAAAAATATAAAAGTTACGTCTATATCAAGTAAATTGGTCATTTTACGATTTGCGCGTGCGCGCACGTGCATGCATGTGCATGTTGACCATGTCATCTTGTCTACACTTTTAATATATCCTTGTATTCTGAGTATCAAAGCATTTCATCAAAAAATATAAAAGTTACAGCTATATCATGTATATTAGTCAATTTACTCATTGCACGCGCACGCACGTGCGTGCACGTGCGCGCAAAATGACCTTCGTTCCGCAAATCTACATAACATACCTAGTAACCCTAAAAAGGTTTTAACTCAATTGGATGTGCAGTTTCCGAGAACACTCGCGGACAAAAAAGTACCGGAGAAGAAATAAGAATAAAAAAGAATAATAATAATAATAATAATAACTAGAAACTCATTGCGAGCAATGAGAGGTCTTCCGTCCGATTCTGAAGAAGAAAAAAAAACAAAAATTCAAGCTGAAAAAGTGGTAAAGAAATTCAGACACTCTGAAGATTTAACCCTGGTCGTCAGCGAAAAAATCCAACGTGCTAACCATTCACATTCACCTTTTTGCATCACTTCCTGTCACGATTGGAAGTAACGGCGATACAAGATTATCTCACGATTCAAATAAACTGACGACTGACTATCAGTCCTGAAAGTTTTAGACTTCAGTCCTTTATTGTTGCCGAGCAATATTGTGAGAACAAATTCTAATTTTGAGGACAGGTAAACAAGCGACCGGAAGTGAATTTTATAAAAATCTCTGACTTTTCTCTAGACATTTGTAGTATCTACAACATACATCAAATTAATTCAAGTACTTTATTGATAAGTAATATTTATGAGAAAGTTAAATATAAAAATAACGTAGTTTATCTCCTAAAACCGGAATTTGACGTATTTGTTTCCGGTTGAATCATACATATTTCAAAACAGCGAAAGAGATGCAATAAAGTGATGCAAGTTTCAATCTATAAAAGAAAAGTTAATTTTTTTTTTATTTCTTTGATCACTTCCTGTAGCAAGTGGAAGTGACGACTGACGAGTTTATCCCAAATGGTTTTGCCTACTCCTCAAGGTCTATTACTCATAAAAGTTTGGTGTTTTAATCTTTTACCTTTTTTGAGATCTCGCGCAGAAATCTTCTAATTTTAAGGACAGGAAAACACGCGACCGGAAGTGAATTTTTGAAATATATTTACGGCTACTCTAGACATATGCACTCTGAATGGCATATTTAAGATTCATTTCAAAAACAAAATCTATAAAGAATATTTATGGGAAAGAAAAATACTCAAATTATGTAGTTTTTCTCTTATAACCGGAAGTTGTCGTTTTTGTTTCCGGTGGGACCAACATCTTTTAAATCTGCGAAAAAAAAGCAATAAAGTGATGCAATTTTTAATTAAAAAAAGAAAAATTGAAATTTTCGTTTTCTTTGATCACTTCCTCTGACGACCGGAAGTGACGGCTGACGCTCTGAACCCAAATGGTTTTGCTTACATCTTAAGGTCTGTTGCTCATATAAGTTTGGTGCCTTAATCTCTCACCGTTTCCGAGATCTTGCTCGGACAACTTCTCAATTTGAGGACAGAAAAACGCGCGACCGGAAGTGAATTTTACAAAGATATTTGACGTTACTCTAGATATTTCCAGTCTAAATAACATATTTAAAATTCATTTCAAATACTTTATCTACAAAGGATATTAATGGGAAAGAAAAATACTCAAATTATGTAGTTTTTCTCTTATAACCGGAAGTTGACGTTTTTGTTTCCGGTGGGACCAACATATTTCGAAACTACAAAAGAGATGCAATAATATGATATAAGTATTGATTTAAAAAAAGAAAGTTGAAATTTTACGATTTCTTTGATCACTTCCGTAAGCGACCGGAAGTGGCGACGACGAACGAAAAGGAAATTCTGTTCACCTATAAGTCATGCCCTATCGTCTCCAACAAGTCTCCAGTTTATATCTTTAGCCATTTTTGAGAAAAAGGGGCGACAAAATTTCATTTTAAAATCAGGAAATTGTCCATACCTTGGCACCGGAAGCCAATTTTCAAAATTCCTCCAAGATGTATCAAGTTCCTATAAATGCGCATTATTCCTGAAAATTTCATTGAAAACCACTCAGTAGTTGCTGAGAAATCGCGTGCACAAAATTTAGGAAAAAAAATAAGAATAATAATAATAATAATAATAATAAGAAACAGTAGAATCACTATAAGGTCTTCCGTGAAGACGGAAGACCTTAATAATAATAATAAGAAACCGAGTAAAAACAATATGTTCCCAAACTTCGTTTGGGGAACATAATAATTACATGTATTATTTGACTTTCCTGCAGTCATTTGAAATCGCCTCCTAAATTGGCCTGACCCATGTGTTTGTAGTAAAATATAAACATTTAGTAGACCATCATGCTTTTTGACTCATTCATTGGATTGGACTATTGTTCACTGTATACACCGCTGTGCGCAATTACAACAATATCCATGGTAGATTCCTCAACCTGTTTATGAGAGAATCTATTCTATGTCAAGGTTGCTGCACACCCTTTTAATGAAAGACACTGTAGGGACAAAGCAAGAATAAAATTGCAGTGATCTTAATATTCTGAATCAAAAGTATTTGTATAAATTCTTTGTCCGAAAGATCTTTCTGTGTACGACATGTAACAAAACTGGCAACAAGAGAAAATTACACTGAACAAGGAATATTCAGAGGGATCTGTTTTTGAGCTTTTAGAAACTTGAGACTTGGTGCTTGACCCCTTACCCAAGGACACTTGAATCCTGCCCCAGGGGTCATGAAACATCTTAAGCTTGTCAAATTCTGTATACCAGCCTGAAATTACATAGAAGTCAAACAGTCTAAAATAAAAATGTTATTCAAGATTGCATGGCTAAAGTGCTGACATCTGCAAATTCAGTTTGACTAAAATAATACTGTGTACAGGGTTATTTTTGCCCCATGTTATTTTTGCCCTTTCACACTTGCAAACAACTTTGCCCCGTTTTAATTTTGCCCAGTCACAGTTTTTTTAAAGAAATAATACTTTTTTCTTTGAATTCACCCCATCATAAATTCATCCACTTGTGTGTAGGACAAAAGGGGTGAAAAATAAAACCGTTGCAAAAATTTCCCTGTATACAGTAATCATAATGCAGATCATGGAAATTTTGACTGAAGTATGTTTCATGATCTCAGGACCTGGTCTGGTCTGTTATTATCTCCATTTGGTGCTGTGAACTGCCCTAAAATTGATAGGTGAAAAACTTACCAGGGATAAATCTGGGGGGGGGGGGGATTGCAAGTCATTTAAAGCGGGAAGAATTTAACAGTTACGGTAGGCATGTTCATTCATGAATGGCCAGATAGCTCATTTGGTGGGGCACCTGTCCAAGAGTTCAAGGGTTCCAGATTTGAATTCTGGTCTGTTCCAAGGGCAATAATGAGGGTGAGGGATTTTGTAAACGGTAAGTGTTAACCGCTGAGAAAGAAACTTTGCCATGACACATTTTTTACACAAGGACATTCCATGTCTTAGGAATTAGCCAAATAAGATAAGAATATACATTTTTACAACAGAATTTATACATTTTTTACTTTGATCTTCACATTTTTTTTCAACTGGTTCTATGGCAATTCAAGTTACAAGCAAGGAAACACTTGGTGATATATAAACCAGGTAAGGCCAAAGAGCAAACTTGTACTTGACAAATGTTATTAATGGACAGACTGGAATTTAGATTTAAACCTAGTTTGGAAGTTAACTCATCTATTTTAATCTGTGAACAGTACTTCCTCTCCAGTACTACTAATGCTATTTTTATTCTATTTTCTATCCTTTTTTCAATAAGTTCATGAAGTTATCAACTTAAACTTTTAACTCAGGGATATTTCATGAAGCATGTCTGTGCTTTGTGAAAAATATGCATGTACGAGAAGTCAAGTTCATATCCTTCATGAATTTTTCAAAATGAAAGAGATAACATGTATTGAAATTTACATTTAAATTATTAACTTCATTTGAATGCACATTACTTAAATTACCCTGGAATGTTTTGAAATGCTTTACAGTAAGCTGTTTATTGAGATGTGTCACTCTTGGTGTTTGTACTGAGGATTATTTAGGTAATTGTGACAAAATAGTGACAATAAATATATATTTTTCTAGAAGTTTATTAAAGGCTTAGATTTGGCTTACAACCTTGTTTACATTCAGAATGCCATTTCTTGACTTCTAATTCATGTACATGCATATTTTTCACAAAGCACCAACATGCTTCAAGAAATATCTCAGAGTTAAAGCTCTGTGGCCATCTAAGTCTCTAGGACACTAATTTCCTAAGATCTATATCTCTACACATATATCAAGTCAAATGGTCACCCTTTATATAGAATTCAGTCTTAAAGGACTTATCGCATGTTTCTAAATTATTTGAAATTAAAAGTGTAAAACGTTCATTGTGACTACAGTTTATAAATTTTGTGTTTTTACTGCGTATAAACCGCGGTAATTAATCAATTATTGACTCAAATGAAAACCCCTGATTTAAAAATCTAAGTTAATTAGATAGCGATCACGTGACCCTGTGACGTCAAAGGCGACAATGGCTGATAGCTCTTCACGTTAATCTTACGAAAATATACGCGATACAACCTGAATTTTCTTCGTTGTGGACGAGCAAATCACTTATTTTATCGATATGAAATTGAATATCCAACCTTATATGTTACAATTGTCAGCAAGAAAAAATCTGAAAAATCTGTTAACATTGTAAAAATAGCAGCGACGATAGCGAGGGAGACGCGGCGAAGACGAAGAAACTCGCCATAAGAATACGATTTGATTTGTCATCTTATCACATGAATTTACGTATTTGATTCACAAATTTAACATTATATAATTTGTTGTTCTTCCTTTTTAACATAATATTAATTTATGCAAGTCTTCATATGTATTTTAAAGGATGGCGATCTTGAAAAATAATTTCCCGATCACGAAACATTGCCGTAATCAGAGCTACAGATTCTAAATGTTTGGAATAAAAAATGAAAATATCTCAAAAACCTTATACCTCAGAACTAGTTAATGTTTCTATAGTAATTGAAAAGCACGTTAGAAATTAAATTTTTCAGCATTTTTCGTAATTAAGCTGCATTTGTCGTTGATAACTCCGTAAATAGTGTGTATATTCTCATCTCTCTATCACTGAATTGTCGCCTATGACATCAGAGCAGTATTTCGCCGAAATCCGACTGAAATATGCATATTGCCGTATTTGAATTTCAACTCCCAATATCTCTTAAAATATGCTTTCAACAAAGTTTATTGTATTCAGTATTTTAATAAACAAGGTTGTAGATAATATTTTTCATAAAAATACGATTTTTGAAAAATCATGCGATAAGTCCTTTAATCCTCACAACAAATGTTAATTTCAGATAAAAAGAACAAATCAAACATTAACAATTTATTTAACATCTTAGCAGTATATCATTCTTTTCAGTGACTCTGTAAAAATAATCTGTACAGAATGTATACAACCAAGGAGATTCTACATGTACAAAGTTAATTAACGATATCAGATCATAAATATAGACCTCTGCCATCACTACATAAAACTGCAGAATTTTAGGAATTATTCAGGAAATATTGTTTACAAAATTTGTGAACCTAAAACAGATGTTTATGGTTGAGATGATGAGGCATGAGCAATAAAGTCATATTTTTGTTAATATGAATTGCGTAACAAATCATTTTGACTGATAAATCATGTTGGTGAAAAAAAAAGAAGAAAGTATCTGCATTTAAATCAATTTAACAGACTCTTTTGTTACATAATATAGATGAAAAACACAAACCTAGAAATATTTTTTTTTTCATTATTTTACATGACACATATATACAGGTATATTTATTTTAGTGATGGCAAGAATTGTTTAAAAAAAAATCTCCATAAAAATAAAGTCATAGCGTCCTGATTTAAAAAATTGGAAGGTCATTTTTATGAAACTGTAGATCGAGACAGTCTATGTACAGAAGGACTCCGTAATTTTGGCTCTTTTGCCTTGTAGTGTTCGTTGAAGTCCAGTCGGAAACTGAGGAATCGTAGACTAACATCCTTGTGATAGGTCAGCATGACCAGAAACTGTTTTACCATATCCTATAATCAAGACCAAATTGAATGATTCAAAGAGTAATGATCAAAATTATACAAAGAGTTTTCAAATATCTTAAGTTAAAACTAGAAATATGTCCATAGGACATGAATGCCCTGCCGAGGGTATATTAGTAATGCAACATTTCAACACAAATTGAGAAAAGTGAAGTCAAGGTCAAAGGAAAGGTCAAGGTGAAAAAATATTGATGCCGTTGAATAGCTTACATCAGTATGTATCAGCATATGAAGTTTGACACTAATTCAAGAAAAAGTCAAGGTCAAAGGAAAGGTCAAGGTCAAAAATTGTTGATGCAGTTGAAAAGGTTACATCAGTATGTATTAGCATATGAAGTTTGATAAAAATATTATGAATGGCTTCTTTAAAACTGAGCTAAACACTAATTTAAGAAAAGTGAGGTCAAGGTCAAAGGAAAGGTCAAGGTCAGAAAATATTGATACAGTTGAATAGCTCTTGTCAGTATGTATCAGCATATGAAGTTGACACTAATTTAAGAAAAGTGAGGTCAAGGTCAAAGGAAAGGTCAAGGTCAAAAAAATGTTGATGCAGTTGAATAGCTCTCATCAGTATGTATCAGCATATGAAGTTTGATAACACTATCTTGAATGGTATCTTTAAAACTGAGCTAAAAACTTATTTAAAAAAAGTGAGGTCAAGGTCAATGGAAAAGTCAAGGTAAAAAATATTGATGCAGTTGAATAGCTCTCATCAGTATGTATCAGCACATGAAGTTTGTTAAAAATATCTGGAATTGTTTCACTAAAACTGAGCTAAACACTAATTTAAGAAAAGGTCAAGGTCAAAAGAAAGGTCAAGGTCAACATGTTGATGCAGTTGAATAGCTTACATCAGTATGTATCAACATCTGAAGTTTGATTACACTATCTTGAATGGTATCTTTAAAACTGTGCTAAACACTTATTTAAGAAAGATGAGGTCAAGGTCAAAAGAAAGGTCAAGGTAAAAAATGTTGATGCAGTTGATTAGCTTACATCAGTATGTATCAACATATGAAGTTTGTTTGAATAGAGCTAAATGCAAAGTGTGATGGAAGGACAGACGGAAGGACGGAAGACGGACATGACAAACACTATATGCCCCGGTCATATTCATGGCGGGGCATAAAAAGTCCAATTAATGCAGTTTTCTGAATGAGGGAATCATAAGGTATTACTCTGACAGAAATGTGCAGTTGTCAGCAATGTGAACTGAGGAAACACTTATGGAACCAACCGAACCAGTGGAGTAATTATTGTTTACATGTATCAACTATCAAATATACCATGTACTTTATTTTACAGAACTCACTTGATAAGACTGTGAGAGGACCTTAAATCGAGCTCTTTTAGATGGTATTATGTTCTTCAGGAATTCCACTCTTCTTACATGTTCTTCTTCCTCATACTCCTCTGTTAAAGCCCAGTCTCCCTACAATCAGGTAATACAAATGTAATTGCTTTGTCATGTAAATCAATTCTCGGGATTAACATGAATTTAAATGCATTTAGACATTATACTCTAGATAAAATTAATAACATTTTTGTTTTTCATATTGGTAAACATATATTTTGCAAGAAACCAACCTTCTGACTTCTTATTTGCTGTAGTTTTTCATAGTGTTGTCGAGCTTGTAATTCATCATTAGCTTCCTCATAAAACTCACTCTGAGCTGTCTGGAAGTCAATAATCAGGTCAAAGATTGTCCTCAGCTGGGTTAGTATGTCCTGTAATAAAGAATCAATAATCAGGTCAGATTGTCCTCAACTGGGTTAATATGTTCTGTTATAAAGAACTCAATAATGAGGTTAAAGATTGTCCTCAACTGGGTTAAGATGTCCTGTTATAAGGAAGTCATTAATAAGGAAAAGTCAATATTATGTCAAACATTATCCTCACTTTGTTAAAGTCTTGCTACATGTATATTTACGCATTGTTTGATGAAAATCTCTGTCCCTCAAAATATATTGGTAGGTAATATCCAAACAGTATTTTCTTTCTGTTACTCCACAATTTTAACCACCGTCCTTACCCTGGACTGCTCGTCTAAAAGACACCTGCTGATGACGGTGTTCAGGAAGATTTGATGGGCCGCTATGATGTTATCAAAGTCCTCTGCTTCCTTTACTTTGGTCAACAGCTCGTCCCAAGAACACTCCAACACCTACACATACAGTTATTATTATACATTCAAATTCATTCAAACTAGGGGGGAAAATCTGGATCTTAAAACTTCATGGACATGAAAACATATTAAATATTTCTGTTTTATAAGGGATGTTAGAATCTTATGTAATTTGTTGCAATCTACTACAAACATAAATATGAACAAACAATTCTTTTACCTCAAAATTGATATAATATTGCACTTGTTGGATGAAATGAACCATTTCACTGGCCAAAACATAACACTGATGAAGAATGCCTGATAATTCTGAAATGATAAAGGTACTTGTCTGTTAATGTTCTGTGATATTTTAACATATCAATATTTTAATAATATAAATCATTTTACAGTGTAACTATTAGAATTTTAATTTTATAGTCTATCTCATAAAGACTATTTACCTGGAATACAACGAAGTGATCTAGAATTAGACGTTTGATTTTTCCACACAATGGCCAAGATATATTCCATTCTCTTGGCCCGCCATAAAAAGTTGAAAATTCTCAGTAGCGACATCATGCATTGTGGAGTAAAAACCTTTAAATAGAAACAAATTTAGATCTACTGATACTAGTATCAAATTCATATTTTTGAAATAAATTTTGTACTTCTACATGATTTTCTTACTATCACAAATGTAAATGAGTATTAGAGAAAATTACTGTTCTTATTGGTCCATCAACATGGTACTCCAAACTAAACACATCCCAGCCCTTGTCTCCTGGTGAAACCTGTAAGAATAGAAAAACTCTTAAATTATTCAAAAGCTGCAAACAATTTCCATATCTTGCTTAAAACAAGCACATCACAAATTTTTATTATATTAAATCAAATTAATTTTTTATTTTACCTCCAGTAGCCTAACATCCAGTCTCTTCAATATGTCGGAATCATCAAACTGGGCATTAGTGGCTCTGATGGCTGTCTCTAGTATCCCTGACAGATTGTGAAGATATAAATTACTGGCTGGCTTAGCAAGATCATCTCTGAAAATAATCACATCAAAGATACATGTACATTGTAATATCAGTCTATCTATAAAAGTATTTCATTGTAGACCTATACATTGTTTTAGTTTTAAAGATTTTTGTTTTAATATCTTCATTAAATTGTATCACACTGAAATTGTTTTTAACAAAAACCAAACAAAGGTTAAAAAGGATTAATTACAAAGCTCAACATAGCAAATTTAATCTATAAGTAACTAGAAATATGTCCATAGGACATGAATGCCCCGCCAAGGGTATATTAGTAATGCAACATTTTAGCACAAATTGAGAAAAGTGAGGTCAAGGTCAAAGGAAAGGTCAAGGTGAAAAGATATTGATGCAGTTGAATAGCTTACATCAATATGTATCAGCATATGAAGTTTGACACTAATATAAAAAAAGTGAGGTCAAGGTCAAAGGAAAGGTCAAGGTCAAAAAATTTTGATGCAGTTGAATAGCTCTCATCAGTATGTATCAGCATATGAAGTTTGATAACACTATCTTAAATGGTATCTTTAAAACTGAGCTAAACACTAATTTAAGAAAAGTGAGGTCAAGGTCAAAGGAAAGGTCAAGGTAAAAAATATTGATGCAGTTGAATAGCTCTCATCAGTATGTATCAGCATATGAAGTTTATTAAAAATATCTTGAATTGTTTCATTAAAACTGAGCTAAACACTAGTTTAAGAAAAGTGAGGTGAAGGTCAAAAGAAAGGTCAAGGTCATAAAATGTTGATGCAGTTGAATAGCTTACATCAGTATGTATCAACATATGAAGTTTGATTACACTATCTTGAATGGTATCTTTAAAACTGAGCTAAACACTAATTTAAGAAAAGTGAGGTCCAGGTCAAAGGAAAGGTCAAGGTCAAAAAATGTTGATGCAGTTGCATAGCTCTCATCAATATCTATCAGCATATATGAAGTTTGATTAAAATATCTTGGATAGTTTCTTTGAAACTGAGCTTTGAACAGAGCTAAACGCAAAGTGTGACGGAAGGACAGACGGAAGATGGACATGACAAACACTATATGCCCCAGCCATATTCATGGCGGGGCATAATAAATGTTCAATGTACAAGGACATTAACTAATTTCATTATTAAAGTGTTTCACACTCCTGGAAAAAAACATCAAAAGCAAGAATGCAGTAATATGCATCCCTAGATGTTCCATTCTTGCAATTTTGGTTTAAGTAGGGCCTATCATTACTTTGAGAATGGACCTGCTCCAAAAACTGAACATATCCATGCAATAGTTTTAAATACATGTACTCACAGCAGTAAATCCATAAGATGACGTATGAAGTCTCCTTGTCCAAGTAGCAGGTATCTCCTCATAGCCTGAACATCAAATCAAACATTTCTTATTTTCATAGAATATGTTTAAAAAATTTGATTTAATATCAAGTTTTTTAAATATATTTAACATGTGTTTCAAAAAGAAAACATACATGTACATCTACTGATAAATAAGTACATGTATAAGGCAATTAAGAAATAGTGTTAACTTTTTTTCTCTTTCAAGTAGCCAGGTGCTCCATCAGTTACTAAATTTTAACTCATTTGTCAATCCAAATTTTAGACATCTGAATAATTTGAAAATTCCTGAGCACATCCTGGTATATTCTAACCTTTAGGTGTTCTAGGAACTTGTACTCTGTGTTCAGGACATCCAGTAGATGTCGACTGGTCTCTTTATATACATGGTCCACCATGTGCTGAAACTCACTTGTAGTGTCCTGACGAAACATCACTTCAGCTGTAAGACATAACACACAAATCATACACTGTTAATCTGTCATCACAGGCAGCTCTTAATGTTCAAAAGAAGACAATTATAATTGTTATCAAATCAAATCTGAATATTTTTTCAATCATTAATTACAAATTGTAATAGTTGGATTCAAAAATCAATGAAATACATGAAAGTTCATGAGTGAAAGTTGGATTACACTTTACATTCACTGCAAGCAACGTGTCTGCATATATTATTGAGATTTCTTTTTTTAACTAGACATAAAGGTCAGTGATTCATTTTGGTGTGCGTCCTGCGCAGGACGCATTATTGCAATAAATGTGCATCCCAATGGACGCAATAAATTTATAGAAGGACATGTACTTTTTTAAATTAATTCGGTATAATCTGATTCAAAACTTGACCGATTGCATCATATCCACGTGCTAAGCGATATGTATGAACGATTTTAACAGGTATAAGGTTGCCAACAACAGGTCAGATTTCACAACTGCAGTTAAAAGCATATTTGAAAGTTAGTTAGCATAGTTCGATTATCACTGATTATGTCTATACCATGGAACGTTTCTGAAGCGAATACTATACCTTTGTTTTTAAGCTGTAACCTGTATCATTGGTTTTTTTTTCTTTTCGTTTTTTCCTTACAAGCTAAGAAGTATAAAATTTAATCATTTTTATTTCTGACTATTTGACATTACTTCTTAAACTTTTTTTTACTTCATTCTGCTTCTCTGCATTTTATGACTGATACCATGTGTGAGATCGTATGTACAATCTAAAAATAGAGCCAAAGTGCACAGTGGACAATATATTATTTTAATGACACAAAATCATGTACTCTTACTTGGACAATTGATAGTAAAAGTATATATCACTCACAACTACAATAAAACTTCTGCACTTTCGTACAATACCCTTTTTTATTTCACCAGAATTTCCTCTGTAACATCTAATATACGGTACCCTTGGATTTGGACGCATTGATTTTAGCACGGGACTCATTTTTGTCATTAAGAGGGGTCCTTTGGACCCATGATAACCATTTTCAAAATGAATCACTGAAAGGTTGCCATATTTTATCAAAACCTGATTAAATACCTTGACTAGAGTCCATGTGTGTAATGACTTGTCTCCCCTTTGTTGGAGTTCGATCTTGACAGACCTGCCTTAGGTAATTAATGGATTTACCTGTCAACAGTATCTAAAATCCAAGGAAAATTATAACCATCAAAAGATATGAATATCTTGTATAATAAACTGTATCATGTTTCAATTAATATATCAAGAGAACAAACTATTATGGTCAGCTCATTTGATTCCAATTTGTATCATTAATTTGTTAGGATCACTAACTCACTTAAACATATCTCTGGCATTAAATGCATTGGTGTTTGACACATGTATATTAACGTTCATTTTAGTGTTTAAGCATACCTAACTGTTCATTACTGTTAATATAAAAATTTATGTTGTCAAGTACAGTCAAAATTCATTATCTTGAACTTGATGGGACCAAGAAAAAACTTCGAGATACCTGAGGATTTGAGATACCAAGGGTAAAATACTTAAAGAATAAGTGGTTGGGACTTCCAAATCACTTTGACATATCCATGGTATTCGAGATATCAGTGTTTGAGATACCAAAGTTCAACTGTAATATCTTCTAGTTCTTCAATATTTTAGGCATTAACATTACCCTTTGCTTATATCCACCTTATCAGTTTTAATTAAGATTAAAATCTAGTATTCTGATATGTGTTCCTAGGTGGGTAAAATACTGATTTACTTTACCCTATTGGCTTGATCCCGGGTGATGAAGTTGGGAATCATAGATTTACGGAGACTGTATTTATCGTGCCAAAGTCTGTCATTCTTCACTGTGGGGTCAGAAGCCACAAAAAATTCATCATGCATATCCTCCAACTCCCCATCATACATCCAGCTGACCAGTCCAATGTAGATAGGTTGGGCTACCTGATATAATATACATGTACATTCATGTAAATAATATACATTCATGTATCATGTTTTCTATGTTTAACAGGAAATGCAAATCTACTGGTTTTCTTCTTACCTTTTCTCGTTAAAACACACTTTGCTTTTTAAATTATGGACATTTAGACCTATCTAACCTTCACATAACAAGATAACATCTAACCAGATTTTCAGTTTTGAAAAGCCTACCATATTCAGTATGTGTTGTATGAGAGATTGTACAAATGGATCTCCATGCTGCATGTATGAGTACAGGGCAGAAGCCAAAGCCCCTCCCTTCTTCCCCCTACAAACATCAACAATGGTGGCAAGGCACTTAAGTCTCTGTAAGGGGTCAAATGTCCACAAGACAAGCTGTCTCAGGGTCAGTCCTTGTCCATCTGTTCTATCGCCCTCACTCAATATCTACAAAATAACTCATACAATGAAGTACAAAAATAGCAACAAAAACAGGGAAGTTTCCTATATCAATGATGAATGTAAGCATATCATAAAGTTATTGTTACCTGTCCTTCTAACACTGCAATAAGTCTGTAATATTCCGTCAATTCTTCATGTAAGGCAGCACAAAAGCTCTGTAATTAAAATTCTACATAAATATTCAAAACAAGGAACTGCAAGTTTAAACTGTTGATGCATGTACATGTTTATATTGCACTGCTTTAATCCAAATTCTCAATTATTGTATTTTAAATGTAAGCTGCATGTTATTTATTCAAAGTGAAAAGTATGCTTCTGATAAATGAGACAATGCTCACCTTTCCAACTAAACCAAAGGTTTTGTCAGCACTTTTGTTTTCTACGTAAGACTTGACTTTGTTAAAAAGCCATCCACACTCTGCTAGCTTGCTCACCAGTTGTCGTATAGCTTTAGGTATCCCTGCCTATAAATTAACAGTTATTTCATTACATTCCTACTTACACTGGACATTACCACACACTACACAAATACCTAATTTCTACACATTATTGCACTGGAGTCAATTATTATCTGATGTACAACTGTGTATTGTTTTATAAGATAGTCCTGAAGAAATAACTCTCTCTTACTTGGGGATTAATTCGGTAGCCTTCCTTTGTTGGGTCAAAACTGATCCATCTTCCCTCTATTCCTTGAAATGCATAGACAAGGTCCCTAATAATCACAGCTTCTGGTAGCTCCTCTGATGCTGAAATTAGTTTATGCTCAGTATTAAACACCAACAAGGGACTAAATAAATACAATAAGTTGCACAATTCTAGATTTGGACATACACTGATCATTTTTGCGGACTATAATATTAGTCTTCTTTGATGTTCTGCCTCGATGAGGTACAACTGCTGTTGAAGAACCTAAAATTTAGAATTAAGTTTACTTCCATGTATCATCATTTGCCTTTAAAAATTTTAATATTATGACTTTGATGACTTATGAATATCTGAAGAGCATGTCTTCCAAACTTTTGATACCATTTAAGATGTTTTTACTAGCTATACCTCTATCACTGGACAGTGTTGAAGCTAATCGCAAACCAACACTGGTGTTGTCTCTGTAAGAATCTAAGCCTGGATAAGAAGGTCTGAAAGAGAACAGGCCAAATAACATATTAACATGTGTCTTTTATAATTATGTTGTAAAATATTATAGTTTTAATGCATAAGAAATGTTTTATTCACAATATCTTTTGGGGTATATTCTGCAAACATTTTCAAATAAAATCTTAAGTGTGGTAAAAGTGGATTACAAAGGCATATAAGATTGTGGCACTGGAGTGGGGTCGTTGCTATGGATTTCACCATGGATACTGCTGATTCCACTACTTCCTGAAGTGTGTACAGAGTGGAGTGTACTGTTGCTATGGAGGGTTGTCGTGTCACCATTACCCACGTGTCCTCTGGCTGCCGGGTGGAACGGTGTAGATGTGGCATGTCCTGTGAGATTCCCAGCAAACAAGGTACTGCTTAACCCAACTTGCTACAGTTAGTAAAAGTTTCAGTTCAACAAATTGTTAAAAGTTTTTACTCAGAAAAAAAAATTTCAAAAGTCAACTTTTGAATTATGAAACAAGTTTTAAATTTTAAAAAAAAATTTGCAAATTAAACCTATGGCAAATTAGAGATTCTTACTGTTATTGCGGTATAAACACATGCATAATTTAATTTTTACCAGAATAATTTTTGGAATTTAAAAAAAATATGTACACATGTAAAACTAGGCTTAAAACTATTGGTACCTTGAGCATGCTCACAAAATAAAACCCCTGCTATGATTTTTTAAAAAGTGCCCCATTTGCAACTTTTTAAATGTAATCTTGAACTTGCCAAAATGACTTTGGTTAAAAGAAAATGAGATATCCTCTGGTCATAAGTAATTTTTGAGTGAAATATAGACATCCAATGTTTTTCCATTAGAAAATTATGGATCTAATATAAATTTTACACTTTTTCAGCCAATAATTTGAAATTGCAACAATGATTTTGGGTCAAAATCGTGACACACTTTTAGCTCACATATTTTTCTGCAAGTGCCAAAATGACCTTAGGTCAGATCATACACACCCTTAGGTCATTACATAAGTAATTTTTTTTTGTCAAGTATCATCTTCCAATTAGCCTCCATTAGAGAGAAATCAACAGAACACAAATAAAAACTTTTTTGCCAGTGACCTTAAACTTGCTGTACTGACTTGGTTCATGGTCAATACATACCCTCAGATCATATGCAAAATTTGTATACTCTCCATAATGTTCTCCATAACAAGATATGGTCAGCACAGGCTATAAACATTATTGTCATTCATGTCAATAACCTTGCACTTACTGGAATGACCTTGGGTCAAGATCCTAACACACTTTCAGGTCATAAACAATCTTTGTACCATGTACAGTGCGGTCTCGTTATTACGATGTTCATTTTGTCACGGGAAAATATCGTAATACCGAGGGCAACGTAATAAAGGTTCCCAATAAAATCCATTAAAACATCGTTTTGAAAACTTGTTATTTTTGTGGGAGGTGTATTTTTGCCCTTTTGTTCCCTTCTTCTGTTCCAATTCTTAATTAAAACGCTAACACATATATAATTTATTAACAACTTATCTTTAATAGATATCTTCATGATGATATTTCTTCTATTTCCTTCATTTCAAAAGAAAAATGCATATTTCCTATAAAAACTTTAGTGATATTCATTTATCTACCACCATTCCCTTTTACTTTTGTTTCTGACTCTCTAGATAATGCGTTCGTAAAAATTTCAATAAGCCGTCTTCGTATTCAACTTATAGTCGTTACTACATAACAACAACAATTTTCAGTGTGCTTTTGGGTGTTCAATGAGCTTAGAGCAGCAGTGAAGAATTGATGAAAGAGGGCAGTGTGACTGGCATATTTATGGACGGAATTTGACAATGCACAAGCTATATGTCAAAATAAATTTGATTGTTTAAATTACTGAACAGAGTTCAATGAGCAGTTCAGCAATTATCGATTTGAATTTCTGCTGACACCTGTGAGGTAGTCCAAGCCACCATACTTGCCAACCTCCAACATGTAAAAATCTGGTCATGACCAGAATCTGGTCATAATGCGTAACAACATTCACGACAAATTTACCATGATTAAATTAAACATCTATACTTATAAATTAATAAATTTTGCAAATAAACTCCAAAACGGGTGACCAGAGTTCTTACTTACTCCTCTAACAATACACTAGATACAAGCTGATGTCCGTAAACTATATTTAGATTTCACTCACATAGTAAGTATCATACATTAAATTAAAAGTCTACTTTCATTTTCTATAAACAGCCATGAAATAGCTAAAACGTGAGTATGGTGGCGTTTCTGGTTGGCGGATCTAAGTTACTGGCAATTTTTAATGAAACTGACAACAAGCAATCGTTTATTTATTACATAAAACGTCATCACTGAATTATTCAATCAAAACTCGATTTCAATGATATAAAAGAAATAAGTTGTGATAACCGATTAAAAAGGGAAATGTGCAAAATATTTTCGTCATTCACTGATCTTTATATTGACGGAAGCTTCTAGAACATCATATAGCATCGAGCCCGATGTTAAGAAAAAAACGAGGCGATATAGCTACAAGACCATAAAAAAAAAGCTTTTGTGTAAATGGTCATAATTGGAATAATTGTTAATCACTGATAACACTATAAGTTGTGAATATAATTATATATCGAAAGATAGCTGCAATAATGTAGCACTCTCCTTTTGGGGGGGGGGGGGGGGGGAGCAGAGAGAGAGGCTAGAAAATATCAGATCCAAAAAACAAAAAAAAATCGGAGAGGGCTACATTATTGCAGCTTAGTCTTTTGTATCAAATACTCAGCCTATTCATAGGGCGTTAAGAGCTAATTTTTACACAGGTACTTGATTCTTGGTTTATAAATATGTATATACCTTAATGATAGGTAAAAATGTTAAGTACATTTTTACATATCAATAAGGTACAAACATATTTATAAACCAAGACCCAAGTACCTGTGAATTTTTAATCCCCCCCCCCCCCCCAATCAATTTATCAGTAAATTGTGCATATTCGTTGCTTTTATCCTTGACGGAAATGAAATAAGAGCATATGAAATACAATATCCATAACGTAGTATAACAGGTTTCACAATAAACGTCAATTAATGAAATTGCTATTTTTCAAGTTTAAAAAAATAAAACAAACACAAAAAACGGGGTTGGGGGGGGGGGGGGGGTGTTGGATAGGTAAATCTACTTCATGTGGGATTTTGAACAAAGTATTTGTTCCTGCTATAAGCCTTTAGGCTGTCAATAGAGAACTACAATATATTTTCTGTCAGTAGTGTTATAAATTCAATTCCCCGCGCTTGTGCGGGATTTCAATTAGTTTATGTATATATAAGCATTTGTGTATTGAGAATTATTTTATTAACTCTTTTCCCCCTGAAGCAATACATCCTTTACCCCCTGCTGCCACCATTTGACGCTATGCCCCATTTCCCTGTTGACGACTTTTGACGCATGTATACAACAACCCTAAATAGCTCTGCAATTTCCCCTATTTCTAAAATAAATTCAGCTCTAAATAACAGCCAATCATGTGTATTAAACATTAGGTAATGTTACTATATTTAGTGAAGTCACATCTGGTGTGAATTCACGTGAGATTTACCTGTCTGAAAAAAATGGCGTCCTGTCTGTTTACAAGAAAAATTAGGCCTTGCTACAAGTAGAGTTTGGCCTTAATATTGCATATTATGAAACATTCCTTGGGTTTTATTAGCATTCACAATGTTAACATCATTTCTAAAGATTAATTTAACAGAAATAAAAATTTACAATGAAAATTAGAAGGCAAAACTTCGGAGAATCTTACACAATAGCAACAATGGCGGCCACAAATTTCCCATGTGTTTTACGAATGCTAAATTCAACTATCAGCAAAATTTTACATCTGAGCATTGCTTTAAGTATAAATTTATTTTCCCCAAGAGACTTCTGCAAGACATGGTCAGCAAAATAAATATCTAAACATTGTCTGCATGAATAAGATCGCGAAGTTTAGCAGGATCTAGTCTAGATAATTACCTACCTTTAGTGAACTATCATGATAATATTTAAAAACATTCAAAAAAAAATCTAATGAACCTTTTCAATAATAGGATATGATATTTTATGTTTACAGTTATGTTTTAAGAAAAATGCTTTAGAAAAGTTTTCTCTCAAAGTGAGGATATCAAGATTAATTGTAAAAAAATTAATTTCACCTGGTTTCACCTATATTGTTAATTGTAAATGAATAATTTTTACAAAATTATGTGACCATGTTAAAGTTTAATCCATTCCCAAAACATTGATATATAATATGTGACACTTTAATGATATTTAAGTACTTATTAGCATGTTCTAAATATAATGGTCAGTCATTTCTAATCAGCCAAAATGGCTTCAGGGGGCAGCCAGACAAACACTCTAGGGAAATGGCAAGTGCGTCAAATGGTGGCAACAGGGGGAAAAGAGTTAAAGTGAGGCTTGTACTTACAATGACAAAAAATTAATATATATTTATTAAAGGATGACTGCACTTAACGCCGGTTTTTGGGTCTTTTTCGGTCGCTTCTGTTGCTTTTATATCAAACTCTTATTTCATTTTCATATATTTATGAAAGAATCCTGTCAATTTCGAGCCGAATTTAAATATTACAATGATCTTAGACTGTTATACAATAAAATGATTCTATGTTTTCTGTCCTTACTCTTTCCAAGTGTAGAGAATTTACACTTACCTGCCCTTGATTAAACATTAGGTATGCATGAGAGGTGAAGCTAACATTGTAAGAATGGCTCTAAAATTAGACTAGATAAATAACAATGACATGTATTTAAAAAATAAGAGATCACTCTTTCCCATTCCTTCTCATTCCCTCTTTATTCTGTATGGCACAAGAACACTATTTTCAGAGGTTTCAAAAACGAAATTAACAATATGAGCGACGTCCATGTAAGTAAAGTATCTTTTAAATCAATGCCTAACAATTTAACGTGTTCGAGCACTTTGTCCTAGTTAGCACAAAACATGCTACTTTACAAGTCACGTGACGGAATTTAATATTCACAGAGTTACCTGAGGTAAGAAATCACGTGGTGAATTATAATATTCAACATGTCACAGCCCTTGGTTACAATAGAGAGAGCGATGTAAGAAGAAGCAGTTTTTTCTCGTTTAAACCATGAGCGCATGTTTGTCTATTAATCTCCTTTTGACACAACATTGTTAATGCAAATATACAACTACTGTTAAACGGAGAACAATAGACAAACATGCGCTGACTATGTATAAAGTCAGTGAAAAGGTGGGCGTCCTCATTATCGTACGGAGATTCAAGGAATTGTGATGACCCCCGCCTTAGAAAACAGCTTCGTACTTCGTAAATATGTACTTTTATTTAATTTAATTACATAAAGTTGTAGATTAGATGTTGACCATTTGTGCAATTAAAAGAAAAATGCTTGTTTTGAAAGTTTATTTTGTCGCAATTTTCGCATGTCCTTAAGTGCAGTCATCCTTTACATGTTAAAAGAGCATTGAAGGTTTCATTATTCAGTATTGACCTGAATTAAGTGTGCATTTTTTTTTAAAAGGAAAGTCTTTTCAGAATCTGCATTGCTGATTTGAAGCACATCCATGGAAAGTTTGTGTTCAATTTGAAAGCATTCCAATCTTGGTTTTGAAGTTATTTTTCCTCTCCCGAATTAATTCAATTAACAAGTGCTATTAAATTTACAGTTATGCCTACACTATCTTTAAACACTTTATTTTATCTAATGAAAGTTGTTTTCTAAGATTCCTTGATATATACATAAGTATCGTTTCTCTTTTTCTTGATTCAATTTGTTCCTGCTGGCCCTGATAACGATCTCGTTCTATCAGAAGCCATTTTAAATTGACTTCAAACTTTGATTTGTCAAAACAACTTTCAGGTAATTGTTTACACCTGGTCCTGCACAGATAATTTACTGGTACACGGCCTACTGAACATAGCCATCGGCATTGTTTACGTATATCCGAGCTTGGGTTGTAACTGGAAGTTAAAAGTACAACCTAATTTATGAACCAAATTTGGAAATCGGGAGATTTTCAGGTTGTTTGGCAAAAATCGGGCGAAAAGCATGACCCACCGTGTCATAAAAAATACTCGGCTTAAGGGTCGAAAAATCGGGTGTAACCCGACGAAATCGGGTGAGTTGGCAACTATGAAAGCCACAACCCAAGCTGTTAAAATGTAAGTGAAGTTCAAATTTGGCCCAAATTATGTTTGATACCCAAGCTGTCCATTACCGCAGTTTAACTGCAAACGAAATTATACAATATGTGTTTAACATACATGCACAAGATTAAATGTATCCTTTTATTTAAAAAATTAATTTTATTTATTAACCAAAGTATAAAAGATAAAATAAACTTTACAGAGATAGATAAACTAGAGACTACATTTATAAATAAACAGTTTAATTGTTTAACAATGGCTTTGACACAATGTCTCCAGTTCTGCTGACCTTGCTAGAACAGTCAAGGTGTCTGCAGTCAAGCATCACTAATCACCTAACGGGTCTGTAGGTTAACACTCTGTCAGAGCACAAGTGTTTCAATGTTTATTTAGCGTCTCCTTAAGTGTCTACCGTCGATCAGCACTGAATAAACACGGAGTGAAAAATATTTTGGACAGAATTTTTACATCGTAATACCGAGTCCTGGCATATTAGGACATCGTAATAAATGGTTCTATTTTGTATAGATTTGTTAAGAAATGGTTTTGTGATTTGAATTTACAAGGTAATAAGTGTTCTATCTTATAAAACCGTCACCGTAATAACGAGACCACACTGTGTAAGTTTGCATCATCACAAAGTTATAGGGCTGCGCAATAATATCGACAATCCGGTATATTGCAATTCATTAACAAAAAATTATCGATATACCAGCAAATTGTTTGGGCTTTAGATTTCTGAAGGAAACATTATATTGCAATACATATCGCAATACAGTTAAAAATATTGCAATACAAAATTTCCAATTTTTAACAAGTGGGATTAGGTGGAAGACACCCCCAACCCTACAAAGTTATAGCCAAGTCAAGATTGCATGGACAGATGGACAAGGTGATTCCTATTTAGTCCTAAACTTCGTTTTTGGGGGGTATAATAATCACACATGTAATTTTTTTCCAGAAATAATTGAATGATTTCCAGTCTCTGAAAGGAAATGTACATGTAGTTCTAGCATGGTATCTGGCATTTTGCTGTCAAGTGTATATACTGCATTTATAAATAAATTGTGTTTATAAATCTTACCCTGGCTCTACTGGTCTTCACCGAGCTGTCACTCAAAGACATCAAAAGATACAGGATGGACCATCTGTTCTTTATCACACCCTGTAATTAATTTAAACAAAACAGTCACCTGACTATCATGCATTCCAAACATATGATCAACATAGTTCCAACTGGAAACAGAACAACACTAAATGCAAGTTGAATTTTACCATTTTACAGAATACTTCCTTCGTCATCATAATGCATAAAAGTTGCTTGCTTGTGCTATAAAAATTAACCAAATTTTTGTTCTCCTTCATCTGCAGATGCTATTTAGCAAAACTGGTTGAAATTGGTTTAGCCACTTTAGAACAGATGAAAATATTCTGAAGTTTATGTTCAAGGCACCTGAATTAGGTGTCATAAAAAACAAAACAGAATTGATCAGCATGTTGAAAAATTCCTTGTCATTTTCCAAATAAAACATAATTCTCGTACAGTAAACTTCTTTTATAACGTACTCGGTTATAAAGCATCTCCGGATGTAAAGTATCCATTCCGTAGTCCCGGCAAAGTGTCTATATATTTCACTGGAAAAAACACCGCTTACAACGTATTTGTATATAACGTAGTATCGCTTATAAAGTATTAGAAATTTGGTCCCGTTACATAAATTACACCTCTTATAACGTATTGTAAGCTCCCCACGGATGGCCTTTCATAAATGGGGGTTACAAAATATAACATTACACTGTACACACACAAGTACGGTGGTACTTCAGTCTTGGTTAACTTCAGTATTGTAAACAGAACGAGAGTTTCTCAAAGGTAACAATAATAATTTATTTATAAGCACATTTCAGCAATAACAACATCAGGTAGGCCTATAAAACATGAGTTTGGTCGGTGGTGTCTACCGTACAGGGCTATGGTAAAAAGGGGGCGGGGCACCAAGGTGACCGTCAACTCAAATATTAAATAGTAATTAATAATAATGTTTTCAAATAATTAATAGGTGTCCAGTGTGTTGGGAGATAATTGTCTTAATTAATTCTCACCTAATACTGGTTGATGGAAAGCTGGAATTTGAATTTAGCGCTAAGGGAACTTAGACAAGATTATCTGCCATTATTGGCTGATCGACTCATATATATAGACTTTCTGAGATACCACGTGATAGGGCTTAACGAATGAAATAACTGTACTGTGACACTCGACCAATCGTGGCAATGTACGGCACCGCACAACATGAGATTTGCCGTACAGTGCCAAACAAGTTTGCCGTACACAAAGAATAAATAATTAAAAACAAGCTGTGATTTAACAAATACACATGGATTAAATTAATATGACTATGCTGGATGTTGTCCTAATCTGTAAGTAAATATTCAGTTCCTAGAAATATGTATAATTGTCATAAAAACATTGAATCGTATAGCAGACGATGTCAACTAAGTACTTTCAAATACGAGCACAATGATAAGCTATTAAATGTACAAATGACTGCCTGATTATAATAAATAGTTTGTAACAATTATTCTAGCAATAATTTGAGTTATTTCAAATAATAAACAATCAATAAAATCACAGAGATACAAAATGCGAAACTCTGGCTAGTATGTACATCACATCAACAAAGATGGCAGCGGGTTGCATACAAGAGTATCCAGATAAAATAAATCGCGCTATTACAGTTCTTTAAGATTATAACATCTCACCCCCAGTTCATGAATAATGACAAGAAAACATGTAGTTTTAAAAGGTATGTGACCGAATTCATGAGATACAGAATTAAATTAGAAAATAGATTATTCACATATCAGCATGTGCTATAAATAGGATAAATACATAACATGTTTTTAAAAACAGAAACTGTCTTACAAACAATTGAAATAATGTTTCTGCAAAGATGCAATCATAAAATACACAATAGAATACAGTACAATGGTAGAGCCGAATGTTATCAAAATTATATATATTACATTACATTAGGTCTTACAGTATTCTGACGCGTGGTTTCACAGCTTTTCAGAGTTTTCTATCAGCTTAGTGACTGCAGATTAGTCACGGTTTATTGATTTCATAGCTTCTCCATAATGGTTGTTTTTCTAACGAGGGTTCTTTGTTGTTTCAGGTAGATGTATTTATAATAAATTGTTTGAATAAAGTTCATCGAATAGATGTACTCATAATTGTTTGAATAAAAATTCACTTTTGAGTCAGGAAATAGCAATATAACCGAAAATGATATAAACTAGTGAAAGAAAAATACACTGATTCAATATCAGTAGACCGCGACGACAGCGAGGACGATGAGGCCATGCCTGACACATGCATACCATCTACCCAGACGATCAAAGGGCATTAGTCCGAAGTTTTCACAACTCTGGCAACTTTGGAAACTTTTGTAAATAAATTTTGTCAGGCCAAACAGACAAACATTACGGACTTTTTATGATCTGACGATCATCAAGATTGTACAGCACAAAAGTGATTTTGAAATAATTTATACTTTGTGAAAATAAAATGTTACTGAATATTAATCTTTCTTAATATAAGAAATGAAACCAAATATACCTGTAAATCATTTATTTACATACTATACATACTTTATAAAATATTGATAACACACTAGCGGTTTGAAAAGTGTTTACGGTAAAGGTGTACTGAGTACTTCCGATCTCCGTTCATAACGTACACCGGTTATAACGTAGGATTTATCACAGTCCCCTGAGATACGTTATAAAAGATGTTTACTGTAATTACATCTCTATCTGTTTAACATTTTCTATTTCATGCATGGTTCAAAAGAGATCATGAATGGTGACCGATAAACGTTACCATTCCAGAAACCGTTAATTTTTTCCCAATTTTGAGACTAAAAATTCCCAGTTCCACTGCCAAGCAACAGACTACGATGACATCATATTTCTTTTTATATGAAACATTGTACAAGTTGACTAATTGTTTCACTTCCGCTTAAATCGAAAGTAAAGATTAGTTTGTAATATGATGGGACCTGTGGTGTAGACAGTGTAGTGTCATACATTTTGACAAACTGAAAGCATGAAAATGCGAAAACAAGGGACACTGATATGAAAAACAATAAATACTTGTTGTTTATTCTTTAAAACATGGAGTAATAAGGTTGGAATAAACGCAAAATATGTTTCATATGTTTAAATGACAGAAAATTCTCCTTTGTTCTATTTCAATCCTATTTTTCCCAATTGAACCAGTACCGAACCCTTTCCCAATGTATAGAAAAAAATCGCTGGTAAACTCTTAAGAGTTCCTACCTGTGCTTGAAGCTTGCGATGAAGTTCGAGAAAAATAACAGCATCTTTCTCCTTGCCTTTCCTCACCACTATTTAATAAAATTAACATAGATGTAGATGCATTTTTTTTATTACACAGAAGAAGCAAAAAACTTGATACTTAAAAGGAAAACTAGACTGAATAAAATTCAACTCTATCCAAACCGACTTACACCTTCGTTTTATCTTCTCAGCAACTTGAAACTCATCATGATCCACAGTTGATTCATAATTACTGAATAGAAAAAAAAACAGTATACAACACGAAAAAAAAACAAAAAAAACAGAATTCTACTCAGATGCCCAATGTTAAAAGATCATTTTCAATGTTTTATCAGAAACCTACAATTTACACAATATACCATGACTATGGCTCTCTTCATACATCATGTAAATGGTAAATTAAGAATATGTCATCATAATTTTAAGGACTGATTCATAACAGATTGGGGAAGCAAGTTTCAATGTTAATGTTAGCAGGAGGAAGTACATGATATGTAGAACAAGAAAATAAAGGATAACAAATATTTTACTTTTTAGTTCATTTTTAAACATATACAATTGGATTCTATTTCTAAATCACACCTAACATCTGAACATAGAAGAAATTTTTAAATTCACAACTCATAATATAAAACAGAACATGTGATCTATAATAATGTAAGATGATTCCATAGTATAATGTTGTTTTATAAAAAAAAGAAGGTTAGTAGTTACAGAGATTAAATTTGGATCTCACAATTAAGTTGCATGCAGGATGTGGCACAGGTCACTCATGCATATTGCTCAGCACATGGATGTAATTAAAACATAATATAATACAGGATCTGAACAACTGGTAAATAAAAGACTTTTCAAATATCAAAGTATTTTTTATATAAAATTTTGTCACAAATTGCTTTGATAAAATAGCCAAGGCCAACAAAAACAAAATTTAGAGTCAAGCTATATACCAGAAGGAATTTTCACTTGGCAGATCAGTTGAGTGTTTAAGTACAATGACATCCAAATAAAAGCATATCAGATGAACACAGACAATCAGTCAAATATTATTGTTGAACCCTGCTTAGTATTTTTTTTTTCACAATACATGTATCATTTCACCTCTTGCAGTCATTTACCTTGTTAATATTCTTAATGAATGTTGAAGCAGAGGTCGCACTGCATCTGAAAAGGTAATATTTATACAATAATTTCTTATAACAAGAAATTCTTAGAAAATTATACACAATATACAATTATGGGATATGTACTTCCTACTTCAATAGAATTCATTTTGTTGACCAACTATCAAAATAATGACTAGTGATGGGAATCGGTAAGAATTTCATAATCGATGATTGGGTTACTCTATCTAGCTAATTATCGATTATAATCGGACATTTACAAAGTCTATCAATTTAGTTAATTTAATGGTAAGAATGGGTAAATGACTACTTCCTGCATATGTATTTGTTGTTTATTTTGCTGAAAAAGAATAAATGGATATTATCTGAGTGTTTTATTGAGTGTATATCTGTTTTTCTTTAATTTTTCTTCATACACTGTACAGATATAAAACTTACATCTATACCCCGGAACGTGCTTTGTTACATGGGTATGGATACAATTCTGTTTGTTTGGGCATTACGATACCCAAATAAGTTAACACATAAGTTGCAGCTGGAATATTTGACTTAATGACTATTACACTTGTTAAAAAAAAAAATAAACCGATTAATCAGAATAAAATTTTTGTAATTGAGCGCTTAAATCATGCCAGCAATCAACTGATTTTCGATTCTACTCGATGATTGGAACACTACTAATAATGACTATTCACATTCTATGGACAGCAGAAATAATTTCTTTTAAAAATAGTTTTTGTGTAATGTTTTTTTCCCTCTCTGTAATAAAAATTCGTTGAAACTATTTGTACATTATACCTAACAGCATGAAACACTCAAAACAAAACAAAAATTATACAAAATTATACAAAACAAGCCATCAAATTCTCAATAGAGAATAGTGCACTCGTTTCCAGCTTGTGCACCATGTGTCAAACCCCGACTACATTTTATGTATTGTACTAGATAGAATGTTCTATCGTTAAAATGATATTGTCCTACGGACCCGGTTTAACGTTAGAATTCGTTCCGTGTATTGGCAATTTTGCAAAATAAACAAGGGCGATAACTCAAACTCTGTGCATTATCTATGAACAATCCAGAGAGTTTCGAATGTCAACATGGCGTTAATTTTGAAGCGAGGAAAAAACGTTGCGAAAATGAGTTGAATTTTCGTATTTATATGGATTATTTTTTAGGTTAAAAGGCATATACAATCTCAAAAAGGTTTGTTATGATTAACTTGGTAGTTATTTTCAGTGCAACTCCTTTTGTATTCTTCAAAATCATTTCGGAGTGGATCCACTCTGATTTGCTACAATGCAAGTATATGGGATGTATTCTAACTGTGGTAAGGGCTTGTCCCGAGACTCAGTTAGATTATTCTAACTAGTATTGTACATGTTGTACATGCAATGCGCAAACTTTTATCTAAAGAATTTCAGCTAAAGGATCTGATAAAAGAAGCTGTTCGTAATGGGTTTTTTTTCTCTTGCGAAAATAAGCATGGAAAGCATGGTAAATGTCAATTCTGAGTGTCAGTTTGAAAATTAATACAACTCAAAATGGGCATGATTTTCTATACTAATAAATTTCAATTATTCTATGTATAAAACTTCAGGTTTTTGGTCGTTCATTTATATCCTTGTACCACATGATCTGGGGCTACCTGTAACACACTATCATAACTTTTTTTTCAATTTATGAAACATGTCCAAATTTGTCTATATCGCCATACCATCTGATAGTCCCGTTATCTTCAAACAAAGCTTCTGCAATAATAATGTTATTGTTTCAGGATCATTTCCTCTTCTGGAACTCATTTTCTGAACAAGTAAATTGATTCAAATGATTATTTCTCAATTTTTATCTGTCGGTAGCCATTTTTGTTTTGCCGCGCTATGGAATTGTTATTGTTTGCTATAAATTATTTTCGAATCTCTACTAAAACGGACTTACTCTTTTCATAAGAGTATACCAGTAGTAGGTACACTTTTGAATAGAGCACAAGAATTTTAGCCACATTCAATTTCCGATTAAGTAGTCTTCTTACATTTCATACGAAAATACGCTTAATAAGTCGCGTCTTTTTTTGTCTTGTTCCACGAGAGTGCGGGACGGTTCGCCCCAAAGACCATTCGCGCTGAGACGTTTCGCCCCTAGACGGTTCGCGCCGAAGATCAATTAATTAATTATGTGGCAATTATCACTTGTTAACAGCAATTATCAACTTCTTCATGACTTTTATACTGTGTTATATTAATCCAATCCATTGGTTCAATCAATAATACCAATTTATATGGGTTATACTGAACACCTGACACCGCAAGGACCTATTAGGACCTATAAGTCCCTGCGGACACTGAAAACCTGATTGAGATAATTTTGCCTGTATGGGGGAAATACTGATAATAGATGATGCATACCAAAATACACTTGTAGAGAATAAAAACTGAGAATTTATCTCTATATCATGCTATATATCCCTGTTGCTTAAAAAAATAATTCTAAATGATCTGATATTTTTATATGATGTGAGAAAACAGCAACTCATGATTATTTTAATGACATGATGATTTAAAAATAACTGATCTATTTTGATATAACAGACATAGAAATAAATTAAGGTATGTCACTTGTGAAATTATAGTTATATCAAAGAATTTTGAGATTTTTTAGTTTATTTTTGATAAATACTTATATAGCAATACTCAATTTGTGCTTTGCACTAAAAAGTATCATACTTCGGGTATTAAAAATATAAAAAGACAATAAAATATTTTCTTGTATCAAGTTTTTTTATGACTTAGGTGCTGATCGATTGGAAGAATCGTGTAGTTTAAAATAATGAAAGAAAAAGGGGGCCAGTGATGTAAATTTTGAGATGTTGATTAAATTGTGTGATTTTCATGTCAAAAATATTTTTATATTGACTATAAAATCTGGTGAGTGAATGTGTAAAATTTGTTCCGAGTAAAAATATGTAGGGCAAAAGTTATATTATTTATGAACATTTATTTATATTAACCACAATATGTATATTTATTTATATACTTTCAAATTGGCTGTTACACCATTTGCTTGATATTTCATATATCTTCTTGTTGTCATGCCTAAGTTTCAATTACATAACCCCTGGATTTCTGAATAAAACAACACTAAAAATAAGCAAAATAAATATATTTGTTTTAATTATTTTCATTGTATTCAAGATAAGCATACAAAAAACATAAACATATAGAAGTATGACACCACAGAACATCATATCACGTACATGATCAACACAGGATATGCAGAGTAAATAAATAAGTTACATGTATCTTTCAATACATACACAATATGACACATTATAAAAGAATGGCATTATAGATCACAGTGCATGAATCACAGTAAATCACAGCTAGGGCATGAATCACAGTTAATCACATCTGTCACATGAATACCTCAAACATCGAAAACACCAGCATAGATGGAACCACACACCTTCAGGAAATGGGATGCTGTGATGTTGTCATCCATGTACTTGGCTGCAGCTTCTTCTATCTTCTTCTGCGTGGTGGTCACTAGCTGTCTAACGTTCCTCTCCAGGTCACAGGCGGCGATCCTTGTTTTCACGAGCTCTCCCTAATGTAGATTTTCCGTAAGATCCGTGGAATTCCATAACAAATTCCGTGGAATTCCATGGAAAAAGTGTTCCATGGAATTCCGAGGAATTCTCGAGAGTATTGGGACGGAACTTTTTTGGAATGGTATGGAATTTCAAATCTAGCCTGGAAAAGAGCGGAACAATGCCAGAATAGAAATTTGCGGAAATAGCTGGAAATCCATGGAATTCCAGGATATTTGGAAATCTATGGAATTCCACGGAAATCCAAGGAATTCCAGGAAAATACAAAAACTGGAATAATCAAAATAATTTAAGGGCCAAATAATTACAAAAAAAATGACATCACAATTTTTCATAAATCAAATCTATATTTTCAAAATAAAAAATCATTTTTGCTTTACAATGTGTTTGGGGACAAATATTGCATACACACTTCTATGTATAATGAAAGCACAAATTTTAAAAAGTATTATCAATGAAAGTATTTTACATCAAAGATTATTTAAAAAATGTTAAAAATCCACAGAAAAATATCATTACTGGATGATCACCTTGGTTTAATTAATGAGAATTATTATAATATACATGCATGTACATGTAGTAAATTACGGTCTGCATGAGAAACAAATGACTTTTGGTTAAAGAAAATCCTTTGTACCTAGAGTAATCTCAAACATATGACATTTTTTAATAATAAAACAAAATAGATTTTTAAAAAAACATTAATTATGACCTTTTGCTTCATTGAATGACCTTGGGAAAGGTCACTAAAGCCTTAACAGGGTATATTTGCAACATTTGTATACAGTTACAATGATCTTCCAGTGGTCCATATACATTTACCATACAAAGTTAATGACTAGAGTGACAAACATATGTATTAAGTACACAAATATCTACTACACAACTATATTTGAAAGATCCCATAAAATCAACACATGCTATTTTTTTTCCCCAACATGCCCCAAGATCCTAATTATTGAGGATCCTAAACTTCTGAAGTATTGGCTAGAATCACTTCCTCACTGGTTCTGTTAGAGGGTGGTCAGATAATTGGTGTCACGAATGGATTCACTTTTGGTACGACGGCTTCAAAAGCTCAGCAAGTTTGATGTTGATCATTCCCAAAGACACTTCAAACTTTTCTTGCTCAATTTCTGAAAGAAAAGATTACCATAAAGATGTATGATATCTATCTCATGTATAAATATATGACAAATAATAAACTAAAGCTATATAAGACAACTGGTTCTTTCAACCTGGCAGATCAGTTTAATACTGTAGAATAGGAATTTATTATCTTGTAATTTTTTGTTCAGATTAGGATTGATTTCTTTTTAAACTAATGGAAGTTGTGAAATTAAAAAAAAATAAAGAGACATGATTGTGTCTAAGTTAATTAACCTTGAATATGAGAGAGAACATTATAAATTACATAAACTATGTACCCTTAAAAACATTCAGCAAATAAAGTTAAGGTATGAAAAAAAGTACATTAGTAAATATAATTTATATACCATATAAAACATTCAGTTTTGCCTTGTCAATGGCTCGTCTTTTGTCTCTTAAGCTTCTGATTGAAAGCACCTTGAACAGGAGTTTGGACGCCTATGCTGCCTTTGATATATTATCCTCCATATCAGCTTACTCCGTTAACTGACCCTTGAAAAGAGGAAAAGACGAATTTATAGGCATATGTAATTGCTTTAAATGCACATTGGTTAATTTACAATGTAACAAAAATATAGACAAAGCAAATAACATAAAGTGAATATATAGAATACATTTGTTCTAGGCTTCAAACATGCAAATACATGTACATATACTTTATTTTTGAAAAATTAAGAAAATATTAAATAAACTGTTATAAATACATGTAACTTCCATGCCTCAACAATTCAGTATTGAGTAAGATAATATATTAGTACATGTATACATGTACTTCTTTATTTCTGGAAATTTATATCTGCGACTAAGGTTATAGGTTTGTGTAAGAATATGATGAATAACATTGACGAGGCGTAGGTAAAAACTGGTGAACAGGACAGAGAACTGACATAGGAAACAAGTTAAAAGCAACAACTTCATAAAATAACTAAAATATATTTGAAAGAGTGGAGTCTAAGGTTCATAATAACTTTTCTCAATGCCTGGCTAACATTGATATAAAACACATAATTTCAATTCTTTTGATTTTATTGATTAGGAAAATGATTAAAAAAATCTTACCTTTGTGTAAATTTCCATACAGCTCTCTCGCTCTTGTCCTTTTTGTGAGCATTCCTGTAAATAATGCATGCATGATTTTATGTCATAGAGTATAGTCATTTTTAATATTTATACTTAAATAAAATGTAAAATGATTATGCATGTAGCATTTAGCATGTTTAGATTACCTGTCAAAAGTTATAATTGTTATGCATTATTAAGGAATTAAGAATATAAACCTCTTGTTACTTGCTCAATAAAAAAAATCTTACGCTATAAAACATTAATTAATAAAAACAATGTTAGTTTATTTGTGCTGAATGATAATTTGAGCAGGCTCTCACCATTCTCACAAGCTAGGTGACTGAATGACTTAGCATCTGCATCTACATATTAGGACATTTCATCAAACTTGATGATTATATGCCGGCGCTGTGCAATTCGAGTACTTCAGCTATAAAATAATAAAAGTAAGTGCTGTGAATGATCATGAACATGCATTAAAAAATAGATACAATTATTTACAATGTACTCTGTAAATGTAAGTAGTACATGTACTAAGGAATGTTATTAGCTAATAATTCGGACCAGAGTTCTGAACTGGCCCCAAAGAGGCTGCCGACACCACTGAGCATGGAAGAGAAATAAATTTCCATAATGGGGGGGGGGGACTATATTTAAATTATCTGTGCAAGTACTAAAGGTCTGAAAGTAAGGAAGACTTGAAATGCCTTTGTTGGTGGTAGTCTGTGAAACTAAATAGAGGCTTGGGTCTACTGCAACTAAGTTGTGCACAACTTTATATCATATAGACAGCATTATTAGTCTACCACCGTCTACACGTTTTTTCTTTGTTGTAAACATGGTAAAGATAGCCAATTTAGATGTTGCATGTTGCAACATATTGGAGACACTAATAGTGTTATGATGTCTGTGTACGATGTAACATGGACTGTCGTGGCGCAATTGGCAACGTGCCACTAGCATATATAGCGAGGTCTAGAGGTATAATATGTATGCTGTTTTGGATCTCGTAACCAGCCTCTATAACCAGGCAGAGCGCATGCGTGAAATAAATTTCCATCGAGATCGGAAAACAGCAGGGAGGAAATTCGGAATATATAATGGAAACTAGTAATGCGGAATGATACTATAGTCAGATGCAGAAATTTTTGCATAATTCGATCAACTTTTATTTAAAAAAGCAGAAGAATAAATCAATCAACTTTACAGTTAGTTTTTATTTATTTATTTATTTATTTATTTATTTATTTATTTATTTATTTATTTATTTATTTATTTATTTAATTATTAATTAATTAATTTATTTATTTAATTTATTTATTTATCATTCTAATAATTAATTAACTAAGTAACTGATTAATTTATTAAAAAATATATATTTGTATTTTTTTTTAAATTCATTTATAACATTCTTTCCTTCATTTATTAATTATTCCATCCATTAATTAATTATCTATTAATCAATTCGTTGATTTATTAATTTGTATGCATGTTTGTTTATTTATTTATTATTCTAGCTAATGATTAAGTAATTGCTTAATTCATCAAGAAGTTCATTTATTTGTTTGTTTATTTATTTATTATATTCATTCCTTCATTTATTTCGTATTCTATTTATTTATTTATTTATTTATTTATTTATTTATTTATTTATCTATTTATTTATGCATTCATTTATTCGTATTTTTCTTTATTTCTTTATTTTTTATTTCTTTATTGATTGATTTTGATTTATTTTTGCATTGATTTATTGATTTATTTATGCATTTATCATATATTTATGTATTGCCATAGTTTGTATACCATCACCAGGGTCTATATACCTATCACCAGGGTCTGTATACCTATCACCAGGGTCTGTATAACTATCACCAGGGTCTGTATACTTATCACCAGGGTCTATGTACCTATCACCAGGGTCTATATACCCATCACCATGGTCTGTATACCCATCACCAGGGTCTGTATACCTATCACCAGGGTCTGTATACCTATCATCAGGGTCCGTTTTATCTATCACCAGGGTCTGTATACCTATCACCAGGGTCCGTTTTATCTATCACCAGGGTCTGTATACCTATCACAAGGGTGTGTATGCCCATCACAAGAGTCTATATACCCATCACCAGGGTCTGTATTATCTATCACCAAGGTCTGTATACCCATCACCAGGGTCTGTATACCTATCACCAGGGTCTGTATACCCATCACCAGGGTCTGTAAACCTATCATCAGGGTCTATATACCAATCACCAGGGTTTGTATACCCATCACCAGGGTCTGTATACCTATCACCAGGGTCTGTATACCCATCACCAGGGTCTGTATACCCATCACCAGGGTCTGTATTATCTATCACCAGGGTCTGTATACCTATCACCAGGGTCTGTATACTTATAACCAGGGTCTATGTACCTATCACCAGGATCTATATACCCATCACCAGGGTCTGTATACCCATCACCAGGGTCTATAAACCTATCATCAGGGTCTATATACCAATCACCAGGGTTTGTATACCCATCACCAGGGTCTGTATACCTATAACCAGGGTCTGTATACCTATCACCCGGGTCTCTTTACTTATCACCAGGGTCTGTATACCTATCACCAGATTCTGTATACCTATCACCAGGGTCTGTATACCCATAACCAGTGTCTGTATTTTCTATCACCAGGGTCTTTATACCCATCACCAGGGTCTGTATACCAATCACCAGGGTCTGCATACCTATCACCAGGGTCTGTATACCCATCACCAGGGTGTGTATACCTATCACCAGGGTCTGTATTATCTATCACCAGGGTCTATATACCTATCACCAGGGTCTGTATACCTATCACCAGGGTCTGTATACTTATCACCAGGGTCTATGTACCTATCACCAGGGTCTATATACCCATCACCAGGGTCTGTATACCCATCACCAGGGTCTATAAACCTATCACCAGGGTCTATATACCAATCACCAGGGTCTATATACCCATCACCAGGGTCTGTATACCCATCACCAGGGTCTGTATACCCATCACCAGGGTCTATAAACCTATCACCAGGGTCTATATACCAATCACCAGGGTTTGTATACCCATCACCAGGGTCTGTATACCTATCACCCGGGTCTCTTTACTTATCACCAGGGTCTGTATACCTATCACCAGATTCTGTATACCTATCACCAGGGTTTGTATACCTATCACCAGTGTCTGTAATATCTATCATCAGGGTCTGTATACCCATCACCAGGGTCTGTATACCCATCACCAGCGTCTGTATACCTATCACCAGGGTCTGTATACTTATCACCAGGGTCTGTATACCTATCACCAGGGTCCGTTTTATCTATCACCAGGGTCTAAATACCTATCACCAGGGTCTGTATACCTATCACCAGGGTCTGTATACTTATCACCAGGGTCTATGTACCTATCACCAGGGTCTATATACCCATCACCAGGGTCTGTATACCCATCACCAGGGTCTGTATACCCATCACCAGGGTCTATAAACCTATCACCAGGGTCTATATACCAATCACCAGGGTCTATATACCCATCACCAGGGTCTGTATACCCATCACCAGGGTCTGTATACCCATCACCAGGGTCTATAAACCTATCACCAGGGTCTATATACCAATCACCAGGGTTTGTATACCCATCACCAGGGTCTGTATACCTATCACCCGGGTCTCTTTACTTATCACCAGGGTCTGTATACCTATCACCAGATTCTGTATACCTATCACCAGGGTTTGTATACCTATCACCAGTGTCTGTAATATCTATCATCAGGGTCTGTATACCCATCACCAGGGTCTGTATACCCATCACCAGCGTCTGTATACCTATCACCAGGGTCTGTATACTTATCACCAGGGTCTGTATACCTATCACCAGGGTCCGTTTTATCTATCACCAGGGTCTAAATACCTATCACCAGGGTCTGTATACCCATCACCAGGGTCTGTATACCCACCACCAGGGTCTGTATTATCTATCACCAGGGTCTTTATACCCATCACCAGGGACTGTATACCCATCACCAGGGTCTGTATACATATCACCAGGGTCCGTTTTATCTATCACCAGGGTCTTTATACCTATCACCAGGGTCTATATACCCATCACCAGGGTCTGTATACCCATCAACAGGGACTGTATACCTATCACCAGGGTCTGTATTATCTATCACCAGGGTCTGTATACTTATCACCAGGGTCTATGTACCTATCACCAGGGTCTGTATACCCATCACCAGGGTCTGTATACCCATCACCAGGGTCTGTATTATCTATCACCAGGGTCTATAAACCTATCACCAGGGTCTATATATCCATCACCAGGGTTTGTATACCCATCACCAGATTCTGTATACCTATCACCAGGGTCTGTATACCCATCACTAGTGTCTGTATTATCTATCACCAGGGTCTGTATACCCATCACCAGGGTCTGTATACCCACCACCAGGGTCTGTATTATCTATCACCAGGGTCTGTATACCCATCACCAGGGTCTGTATACCCATCACCAGGGTCTGTATACCCATCACCAGGGTCTATAAACCTATCACCAGGGTCTATATATCCATCACCAGGGTTTGTATACCCATCACCAGATTCTGTATACCTATCACCAGGGTCTGTATACCCATCACCAGGGTCTGTATACCTATCACCAGGGTCTGTATTATCTATCACCAGGGTCTATATACCTATCACCAGTGTCCTTATACCTATCACCAGGGTCTTTATACCTATCACCAGGGTCTGTATAACTATCATCAGGGTCTGTATTATCTATCACCAGAGTCTGTATACCTAGCACCAGGGTCTGTATACCCATCACCAGGGTTTGGGTATCTATGAACAGGGTCTAAATCTGTAAATCTATGTCAAGGGTGTGTATTATCTGTCATTAGGGTCTGTATGTACCCATCACCAGGGTGTGTATACCTATCACCAGAGACTTTGGACCTATTACCAGGGTCCGTATATCTATTACCAGCGTCTGTATTTCTATAACCAAGGTCGGTATTATCTATTAAAAGGGTGTGTATACTTATCACCAGGGTCTATATTATCTATCACTAGGCTCTCTATTATCTATCACTAGAGCTGTACATCTATCACCAGGGTCTGTATACCCATCACCTGTTTGTCTGTCCGCAAAAACGTGCCCATTACTTTTGATTGGTTGGACCTATGGCTTTCATATTTCACATGTGCATTTCTTGTGATAAGGCCTTTGTTTGGGTTCTAACATATTGGACTTTTTTGACCTTGATCTTCGAGTTTTTCCCACTTTTTCAAGAATTTACCAAACTTTAACCTTGGCTATAACTTTTCAACAGTTGGTGCAAGGGCTTTCATACTTTATACTAGTATGTGTATTC